ACAATGACATGCGGTGTCAACCGGGTTCTTCTACGTCGATAGTTTAGTCATTCATGATTACTTTGGCATTAGTTGCCTTCCCCGGAGGATAGTCAGTTTGTATCGGAAAATATCTTGATCCCACCTCTTATCGGTGCTAATACCATGCTGCTTATCTCTCCACTGAAATCGATAAAGCTAAAGCTGTAAGGCTATTACTGCTAGTGACGTTACAAGCTTAGGTAATTTGGATGTTTATTGCTCATAAAAGTTCTGGAGGCAATATTTCAGAGCAAAGCCGCTCGTTACTTGGTCCTCATTTTTCTTGGCTATCGCAATCACCGTCGTAAAATATTGTAAGCTAGGCTTTATCGTAGTCTTAATTAGTTACTGACTGCCTGAAAAATCATTACCTTACATTTGTCATAATTATTCTTTCATTGAAGGCTTCTTGATTGGATAGTAGATGAGTGTTTTTGGTTGCCTTCGTATGGCAATGAGCCGTTACGAAGGCAGCTTTATGATTCAGGTGGCATTGAAATACAAGTCAAACTCTAGCCCAGACGTCGAATCAACTTTCCTGGGGCATGATAGAATGTGCGATGTGGGCTTAGTTTTGGTTGGTTTTCAAGCCACTAATGAATTTCTATGAACTGCCTTTTGGTAGTGGCTTAACTTAGGCCTCTCAGTTTGCTTGCGCATAGGAAATCCAAATACTTGGATCTTGGACACGCCTCTAGTACAAATCTGAAATTGTGGACTTCTTTGCTGATGTTATTACGAGGCATTTTTGAGTAGACAAATAATAATAATGATGGAAATCAAGGCAAGCAGTTATCAATAAGTCCAGTTGTTGGGCCTTATTTGTGTAAATCAAGCCATGAAAATGGTAATGGTTTTTTTCAATCTTTTTACAGTACGCGCAGTGTAATTTATTCATACAGAATGCTCATGTTACTTTAAAAATCTTTTTGATCGGGAAAATCTCTGCGTCTTCAGGTCTGCTAAAATCAAGTACTTGGTGATTATTGACGTGAAAAAACATTTGCGTTTCATTTGTGCTCCTCATTATTGCATGCTGGCTTTTATTGCATTGGAATAGCTATGGAAGCCATCTCCATATACATCAATTTGAAGCGAGAATTATTCATGTTCTTTGTGCTAAGCACAACAGAAGAGAAGGAGATATAAAACTCATGGATGTGTATACATTGAGGTTGCACACCACCTAAATGCGTTTCGAAATGGACAAGTGGCAATTACCATCAGATTCTGTCAAACTATGATATGTAGTTTATAAGGTTTACTTTCGTGGCAATTTGGTGATTGATAAGAAATACTTTGCAATATTTTTTTACTCAATGGTTTTGGCAGTTTGCGATGTCGCGATTTTAAATAAGTAAACTTCTTTTCAACTAGGGCATTGAATTATTTCATGCAATCTCTAATACATTGATTAGCAATCTAACAGCTTCATGAAGAACATCTATACATTTTCTAGATGAAAAGTATCTCGGAAATTGTAGCTGAAGTATTTTGTATTTTGCGCCTGTCTTCTCCGCAGAATGTCTATGTGCTCTATACATGACATTCTCAGAAATCGGCAAATACCAGTGCATGTCGAATCTATCAAAATATTCAGCGATGCCCGTTTGATAAGCAGATGTCAACGTGGCATTTTCAGCAACATAGATATTTTGAGTATTTTTTGTGAATTCCTTTCGTATAGCTGCGAGAGGACTTTCTTTGCTATGATGTTTGCCATGGAACAGTGAGGTCAAAAGTTCGGTCTCAATGGTTTGGATGCTTATTGATCAAATTTCTTCTTTTCTTACGCATCAGGGTCTATGGAATGTCATCAACAAAGAAAACAACTATTACCTTGGTTTCCTCCATTAGATTTTATCGGCACGTTGGTTCATAGATCCCGCTGCGTTAGTTCAGGCGTTTGCGCCTTTTTCAGATTATCGATTTTTGTTCTTTCGGTAGTTTTTACACCCGCTTTTTGTGTTTAAAAACTTGCAACAACTCATTTATCGGCATTTCGCAAACTATCGATGATGAATAGGAAGAAGGAAGTTGATTGTAGGTACTTTGCGCCTTGCAGTTTTATCACAGCAATAACTTGCTTGAGGTCTTATCACAAGCGATGCACATGTAAGCTGTCCCACACTGAAGCCAACTTCGCCTTTATGGCAGAGTTTTATTGCCTCATTTTGATGGCAATAATACAATCTAATATGTTTGTCTAAGCTCATAAAGTAACAAAAACTATTATTTCAAGCCCTGCCCTGCTTTGACTTCTCACTATTCTTTTACAGTTCTGTTCCTGCTTCATCACCATCATAACTTGCGAAATATAATGTTTATGACTCATACAGAAATTTCCCACAGAGAAGTGTTCTAAAATTTTCGTTTATTCATCTGCCCCCCAATTTTGCGTTGTTCCAAAGTCCAAATGCATGTCAAGCGATGCTCCGATATGCCTCTGTCTGTTTGATATCGAAGTGTTTTCTATTTGCATGCAAATTCCTTTGCTTTTTGTATGTCTCGCTTCCATTTCTGCGTGTTGAGAAATCTGTGTACATAATGAAATGTAATGGCAATGAGTCATGCAATCGCATTGTGCTCATCATTGACGAAAAGTAGTTCTCGAAATTCTGTGATTGGAATGAACACGAAATGTTTGAATCGATTTTTACGGCCCTAGAAATGGAATTTTTGGAAGTGAGTAACAGAAGATTGATGTCTGAGAGAGTAGTTGTATCTCAAAGTCAGTAATTTCGTTTCGCGATCGCTCATTGAGGTTAATACGGATTTAATTTAACTGTCAGCGAACACAGCAGGAGTGAACGCTCATTGTGGCTTTTTGGCCTTGAGATTCTCGAAGCGTTGGTGCGAGTAAACTAATAGTCCCTATGAGTTGGAACAAAATACCGTACAATATTCAGTTACGTGATATTGTCAAAAATACAAATAGCAGTTTGGTTATGCGCGACAGCTCTTTGGATAGGTATCAGTGACGGTCCCAGATTCTTTTGTTAGGCAGGTAGGGGGGGGGGGGGGGGAGGGGGAGGGACAATAGCTCTTTCTGAATGACGTGGTGGCATTAGTTATAGCTCCGAGATTTTTATCAAGCTGATTGGGATTCAAAAAAAAATAAACGATTGTTTACAAGTAATAACGAGTTATCAGTACGATGACGAATTTGATTTTTTGCTTACTTGTTTAGACTTGGTTAACATGTATTTGTAGTCAGTAGTAGGAGAGATATAAAACCTTTTCATTTACTGATTATGTTGTGGATGCCTACGCGAGGTAACCTTTGATTCAACTGGATTGGCTTCAAGAAGGCGGGGCTTTGTGACGTAATTAAGGCCGTTCGCTCCCGCAACGCACCTGCGTCTCTTTCGCGCGAGTGCTCTCTAACCACTAGCTAGCCTTGATTAGGTCACGAACCTCCGCCTTCCCGAAGCCAAGCTAGTTGAATCAAATGATAGTTTTTGGAAATTTTTTTTTTTGATTTTTGCGTTTGAAGACCGTTTATGTCGTGAAGCATCCTAATTTGGATGTAATTAGCAAAGGATCATCCCCGCATCTTGCTATATTAGTGTCTTCTAAATAAAGTATTCAATTACCTGCACTATCTAGAATATGCTTAGTCTGCGCGGTGAATCTTTGTTTCCACAGAACCAGAGTTATTTTGCATGGCATGAGTCGAAAGGGCAAAAATTTACGATGCATGTTGTATCCATTTGATTTTTAGAAAGTCAGAGCCGTTGTTAATGTTGGAGCTGAAGATTTTTTTCATGAAGTCAGTGGTAACGCAAAATAAAGATCCATTTGCTATAATATATAAGCTTATTCTATGTGTTAAAAAATTGGGCCACCATATTATCAAAATTATCCACTGAGTCGTTCTCCACATGAGCTTCGCTCCTCTGTTCATCACAAGCAAACCTTGAACTTTTTAGGGGATTAAGGGGATTATGTTCACGCTTCGCCGAATGTAAACACATCCGAAAAATCTGCAAGGAATGAATCGTGCTCAAAAACTATTGTCTTCACGTGATACAAGAATAGTCATATGCCACAAAACCTGTGTGTTGGACTTGCTAACGGTGTTTGATTAGTCAGTGGTTTGTAAATGAAGTCAATATGGTTCTTAGAAGGCGCTAGAATTGTGGACTGCAACGTTTCTGAAAGATTTCGAGTTTCATATATAAGAATCTCGTTTGAGCTTACCAGCCAGGTTGTGATCAGTTTGCTAGCAAAAAGCATTTTTGAATAAGCTTTTTTTCGCGTTTCGACCCTGCAGCAGTTTTTTCCCCAGAGTACGAGTAAATCTAGTCTTCTTCTGGTTGTAAAATGACATCTTGAGCGCTATCGAGAAACGGTTGACGGTCTCGCATCGTTCAATCGGCACGTATTTGCGCGCATAGGAGGTGCTTGTGTTGTCCGCCGGCCGTGCAGCAGCAGCCGGAAAGGAGCTGAGAGTTTCCCCTCCCCAAAACGGCGCACGTTGTTTAGTCGGCAAGTCTTGCACATCGTCGTCTTCGTCGTCGTTGTCCTTTTCGTGGGACCGTAAATCCCCACTTCAGTGTCGCTTCCGTTAATTGGTAGCGGGGTGTGACAGACTGACACTCTCACTCCCCCCCCCCCCCGCCTTTCCCCTGTACAAGGTGAAAAGCGTTCGTCTAGTGCATTTGATCTGTGTCCAGATTGCACACTTCGCCATCCACATCGTTGCCGCGCCGTCGCTGTCGGTTTGGTGTGCGTCGCCTTGACCCACACGGACACGGACCCATTGCCCCTCCGCCCCTCTCTTAACTATACTCTATCTGTCGTCATACAATACACGCACTGACGGCGCCACAGTCATCATATCTTTCGCTGGTTGACATTGGCGAGAGAACTGAGTTGACCGCCGACACTAAAGTACAGTTTTACTGACCGCTACTTTACCTGGTTGGAAACATCGTTGGAATGTGCTGAACATCAATCAACAAAGATAAATAGTGATGTCATACGTGTATTCAGCTGCAATCTATTCACCAGGCGAGGGAAAAATCGTCAAAAATCTCGAAGGTAATGTTAGAACTTTGATGTTTTTGCTAGCTTTCGGTTTTTTGAATGGTGATTTGATTATCAGTGAATCGTTTGTCTTTCTTTCTTATACCGCTGCCTGAATGTGAGAGTCTTGAGGCAGCCGTTTGCCATCTCCATTTTGTTTGTAAGATCTTTGGACTTGAATATCACACACCTTATCAAGATGGTGTTGCTTTTGTTTTCTCCAGAAGATTTATCGTACCTGCCTTGAAGGCTCTAATTTAGATATGATTAACGAGACTACTGTCTAGAAGGCACTGATCCAAAACAGCTTTTACGCTTACGAGTGCTTGAGGAAATTTATAAACATTATATTCAATATCTGATTTTGTTTGTCAATTCGAGCGTCATCGCGACCCTAATCCTAGTTGCACTTTTTCGCGCTATTGGAGTGCTTAATATTGCTTTGAGAATCGCGAAATCAATGTTTTGCGATGCGAATTGGACATTATTGCAGCATAGAACATTTAGGCTTACAGAGCGATTTTAATGTATTTAAGTGCTCTTGGAGACAATGCTAATGTATTTTTGTCGACTTGTCATCCTTACCTTTGACAAAAGTGATGAAAAAAGCAGAGCTGGGTGTTGGAACTGTATGAAGCCAATTTTTTGCTTTTTCATTGAAGCGCGAAGCGGAGTGGAATTAGAAAAAGATGCGCTCTATGCAGTTAGTGTTTTATACTCATAGCGTCGAAGTAGAAAATTGTGACCAGATTCTCACCTTAGACTTATCCGGTTGGGATTTTCTTCTGCCCTCAAAGTGCACGCTTCACTGCATCTTTTCTGCTCTCCTTTCTTGCTGGCTCCGGATCGCCGCAGAAATAGTTTTCGTCTTGTTTCCATTTATAAATCCTCACAGAGATCTTTCTAGACGAGGCGCGAGGCTGGCGCGGTGAGATATCTTCTAGCCGAAGTGCCATCAATTTCGACGATTTGAGTACAAACGGATCAACAATGCCCCAGTATGAAGTGAGGGTGAGTGGCAGCAAGTTATGATCACATTCTTGTTCTTATAACAACTATCGATATATCATCTTCTTTGTTTGATAGCATTGACATGTCATTATGAATCTCTTTTGTCGCCGTAGACATGCAAGAACATTCGTTATCCTTCTGCAGCGGAAAGGGTGTCATGACTCGTATCATCTCATCAAAAGTTTAGCTCAGCTTCTCGTAGGCTCCGTCCATATCGGGCAAGTTTGAGTAAATACCGCGCTGGCTATGCTATCAATGTTTTTCATTGCGCACAAAAAATACCCTGGTGTTGTCACAAAAGAACTTTGCAAAAAATCGAAAGTGCGACGTTGTTTGCCAAGATGAATCACATAAGCATAGACAGATACCACAAAGTAAATAGGTTGTGTATGAGGCGGAATTTGCAAAGCTGAATGAGCCATACGGTGAAGATTTGAGTCATGGGTTTTGGTATATAGGGCGTTGTTTCCGTGATGGAAGGAGTTTCAAACGCACTCAGAACCTTAAAGTTTGATATGAACACTTTTCTTCATGAGAATCAGACTTATTACATACTTCCTTTTATAAAAACTGAACATTTTTATCGGCCATCACCACTATGCTGCTCTTTTTTTGTCTGACTTTCCCTAAAGAGCAATTGTCAATCAAAAGATAAGCCTGAAGATTTTTTTGACCGGTGCGGTATGATCCTATTAGATAATGAGTTCGCTGGTGATAGTTGATCTTCTTTTTTGCTCTCAAAACAATGCATGAAAAGCAAAACGTAAACTCTCACTGGTACAGTCATCGTTTCCGCCGCAACACATTTGCTTAAGCGGATTTAGTATGAATCATTTTGAAACGTTTTCATGTGTATGACACCAATCGTTGATTGAAATCGAAGGGAAAGCATTGCAAATGTGGATTCAGGCGTAACTTTCTGGAAAGGAAGGCGTTTCGATGTTTATTAAGATCTCTTTTACAAGGGAACTGAGAATATGTCGTATCAAGATTGGAGAAGTCTTCCCGATTACAGCTTTTATTTTATATGCTCTGTTTTCTGGATCACTATAGCATTTGGAAAACAAATAATTTGGCTTCACAGCTCCTTTTTCTTTATATCTGCTATATGTTAGTCTACAAACTGTTCTTTACTTTATGTTTGTTTTAGGTACGAGTTCCGCGAGCGAACGGAACGCCTGCTGGAGCCGCGCCAAGTCCGCGGAACGATGATGACGATTTTGCCAATGAAACACTCTTCTTTGAGCGTAACCGCATCAAACAACTACAAGATGAACGTGTGCATATACAGAAGAAGACTTTCACAAAATGGTGCAACTCCTTTCTGAATCGGGCAAGTTGACAATTCTGGTTTTCATTTTACCTTTTTTTTGGTTGAGTGTATGTTTAGCAGTACATCTACTGTGTATGACTTTTGCGTGAGAGGGTATTCTGTACGACATTTACAAGTTACTGGGTGATGGGAAGTGGCCTTCACTCCTAGATGTCGCCCAAGATATATCTAAGCGGCACATTCTTGTCGCGCTGCGTTCTGACCGATGGCCTTATTATTTTTCGTTGAGAGAACACCGCGCTGGCAGTATATGAGAATTACAAGAGTGGGGTGGATAGTGTCTCATAGATCGGGTGGCAAGCTAATATATGATTAATCTAGTTTACCGTCTTAATGTAAAGGTGCTGTCTGGCAGCAATTTAATGCGTTTTTTGGCAAATTCTTCAGACGGTTTGAATAGTAATTATCCACGATTTTTCAAGTTGGAAACAGGTTCTGGAAATTCATTAACCTACTCGCAACCATTACGGGGGCCAGTTTTTGGATGGTCTTAAAATGTCTTCTTCTTAGCCTTAGAATTTCGGTAAGTTAAGTAACGGTAAGGTAACCGATCCTTGAATTGGTAAACGCGATGAATGAAAGCTGGGAAACAACAAAGATATCCAGAGGTGGATATGATGTGAATGTCTTTGACCGAAGTGTCGAAAAACCAAAGTTGGAAATGGAATAGCGACTGATTGTTATTGTTATTCATCTCCATTCGTCATTTCTTATGTGTTTGTCTCTTATTGTTAAGAACCATAAGAATAGACTGGTTTGGGAGACATTATACGAACTAATCGCTTGTGCAATTACCGAGTCATCACTAGTACTTTCCAACCATCTGTCACTCATGCTTACTTCATTGTGGGGACATCCCGTATGTAACTGGAGCTAATCTTGTCCTCTAGCGTGATTGCTGCAGACCCTTCGTTGAGCACTAGCTTTATTTACACGTTGTTTTGCTATTGACCACAGCACGACCTGTGGGTCCTTGAGAGTGCCGCTATCGTCAACGCTATTGAACAATCAGTGGGTCGTCTCGGATTGAAACACCTGGGGATTTGGGTCATAAATCTTGAAAAGGAACAAAAAATACACGGAGAACAGCCTATGACGAGCGTTTGAAAGCGTAACAAAAAATGAAGGAATGTTTCAGGCCAGATTGGAAGTTGTCGACCTTTTTGTGGATTTTGGAGATGGTGTGCTACTTATGAAACTTCTTGAAATTATCTCTGGAGAGAAACTGGGAAAACCTAACAGGCTGGTTTTTTGCAGACAAACCTTTCACTAGCATTCACGGTAACGAAAACCTTCGTTTGTTTAGAGGGCGTATGCGGGTACAAAAAATCGAGAACCTCAATAAATCGCTGGATTTTCTCAAGAGGAAAAAAATCCAGGTGAGAGTTTTAGCTACGTCATTTCTTGCTGGAGCTAATTGCACTTTTCTTGCTGCTTTGCACAGAGTGCAACCAAAGGTGCTATAGTCAGCCTCAGGTGTCAATTTATATTTGCATTTGCATCTACGAGGTGCTGTTTGTTTGGACACACGCAGCTGTCCTGAGCTAATCTGAACTAAATTTCGGGGAATCTATAGCGTGTCAATAGCCTGTCAAATGAGTGGCTAATTGCAACATACATTTAAGAAAGAAAAAAACTAGGCATCCGCCCTTATATACATCGTTTAGCTGGAGAACATCGGAGCTGAGGATATTCTAGATCGAAATGAACGTCTTATTCTTGGTCTCATCTGGACGATTATCCTTCGTTTCCAAATTGACACCATCGTCATTGAGGTGAGAATCTTCACATAATTATAGCTTAGAATCTTTTTTTTTCTTCTATTTTCTGCAGCCACTGAGTATGGGAAGCTTTTCGCTTTTTCTTAATCGTTACTAATTTACAAATCATCTTACATTGCGATGATGAAGCAACTGTCTTTTGAATACTTATTGAGAAAGTCTATGACACCTAAAATTAAAAAAGTTGTATTTCCACTTTATTCTTCTTCAGTATGTATCACAGGGAGAGCGGGGGTAAGGGCTTAGAATACCAATAGGCTTTTTTCTTTGAATGCTTGACATCATGTATTCAGAAGAGGAGGCTGCCAAGAGTAGAATGCGACCATACCATGTAGAACGTTTGTTATATGAAGAAATATAAGTAAATTCAGGACGAAGAGGAGAGTGGAGAACGCAAACACGCCAAGGATGCGCTTCTGCTATGGTGTCAACGTAAAACCGCTGGATATCCGAATGTCAGGATTGAAAACTTCACCACAAGTTGGCGTAACGGATTGGCTTTCAATGCGCTTATCCATGCTCACAGGTAATTTGAGTAGTGGCATGGTTGAGCATAAAGTGCTGTTCTTGCAGACCTGAACTGGTTAATTTCAATGCACTTAATCCTAATGATCACATTGGAAACCTTAATAATGCCTTTGATGTGGCTGAAAGGAAATTGGAGATTGCGGTAAGTTTTTGGTATCTGTTTACCACTTTATTTCTTGAAGTGTCTCAAATTACAAATGCAATATATTCTTTAATCTAGCTTATTGTTTTTTTAGCGTCTTCTTGACGCTGAAGATGTCGACACGGCTCGTCCAGATGAGAAATCTATCATCACCTATGTGTCCCTGTACTATCACCACTTTGCGAAACAGAAGACTGAACTCACTGGAGCTCGTCGTGTTGCTAATGTATGTAATTTTGGCCTTTTCGCGGTCTTCTGCATGTTTGACTTGTGCTCCAGATTGTTGGCAAACTGATGAGTAGTGATGCCATGGAAGAAGATTACGAGCACATTGCTTCGGATTTACTGAAGTGGATTCGCGAAACGATCAAGATTCTCGAAAACAGGAGGTAAGTTGTTATGTCGAAGACTGGTAGAGTTGCAAGTGATTTTTTCTCTTCAGATTTCCTAATTCTCTTGTTGGAATGAAAGAAGAGCTTGGAAAATTCAACGAGTTCCGAACGATTGAGAAACCTCCCAAGTATGTGACAGTTTTCTGATTCAGATTCTTCAAAATTTTGGAGCTCACTCATGTTTTTTTGTTTAGATACAAGGAAAAGGGAGAGCTAGAGGCTCTGTTTTTCACAATTCAAACTAAGAGAAAAGCTATGGCAAGGAAGCAATATGCTCCTCCACCTGGTACGGTTTTTTCTGGAACATTTATCATATAGATATATCCTGTTCATTTATCATTCCAGTGTTAAAACTTCATTTTATTGAAATTTTAGGCTTATCTATATATGACATTCAAACAGCGTGGGACAGGCTTGATGCCGCCGAGAATGATCGGCAACTTGCGATTATTGCTGAGTTGCAGAGGTATCTGCTTGATCTTCATTGCTTTTGACAGAACATAAATACTAATATTTACAGACAAGAGCGACTCGAACAGCTGGCGCAACGTTTCCACAAGAAGGCAAACCTTCGTGAGGTTAGGTTTCACCTAAAGATTTCAGTTTTGATGGCCCACATAGCTCTAGTTCAATTCTCATTACAGAGCTGGCTGAAAAATGTTCAAGTTATTCTGGAAGACATGGACCAAGGAAGGACTGCAAATGAAGTTGAGAAATCTCTGAAGAAACAACAGGCTATCGCTAACGATATCCTTGCAAGGGTAGGCAGCTTGAATCCAGTTTTGATCCTTTTAATCTCGGTTTGTTTCTCAGGAAGAACGCTTTAAACTGCTTACATCGATGTGTGCTGATCTTTGTAATGAGAAGTATCATGAAAGTGACAGGATACGAATAAGGGAAAGAGATATTATAGAAAGGTTGGCTTATCTGCCTTTACATTTTTTTGGTGTTATTATATCTCTCATGGGAATAGCACTCTGCCAAGTAATGGCCAGCCGCCAGATTTTTTCGACTTTTGTAAATAAAGTCGTGCAGGTGTCTGTATTGTAAGACGACGGTGAGTTTAACCTGTTGTTATCGTGTGTAAATAGATAAGATTCGCTTAGGTGAAAAATAAAGATGGATATAACTAGTGAACTTTAATTAGGACGATAGAAAAGAAATATACAGCATGTTTCGTTTGTGCTAGATAGGCTTAGGGAAGCAGAGGGATGCAACTCAGCATGAATCTGTGATCTTCTACCCTTTTGTCTTTTTTTGCGAGAAAGATATACTGTACATGCAGGTGGACCCATCTGTTGAATTTGCTGGAACAACGCCGGAAAGCCCTCATGGGCTTAAATGATCTCATGTCGCTGCTAAGAGACATTGATACTCTAGCTAGTGAACTCAAACAATTAGAGGTAAGTGGACTAATTATGCGGGTTGAAGTGCTGGTCTTATTTATTTTGTTATAGCCGGCTGTCCGCAATCGTGATGTAGGAAAGCATCTACTAGGCGTAGAGGATTTGCTTGGTAAACATGAGCTGGTAGAGGCTCAGGTATGTTTGTTGTTGGTTACTTCGTCTCTAGGTCTATTTTTCTTCGCTTGCAGGTTAATGCTCAAGGAACTTGGCTTACAAATGTATCCAACCAGGCTAACATATACATTAGAAGTAAAGGAGAGCAGTATGACGTGCTACAGAGAAAACTTGATGATGTCACGGCACAGTATTACTCGTATGTACTAAAACTTTTTTGGCTGACTTTTGTAATCATTGCATTTTTCAAGAGTTCCGACTTTCTTAAGTCTAACTTTCCTAATTCTCACAGTCTTCATTTAGGTTGGTGGATTTGTGCCGTCAAAGACGCGCTAATCTTGAGAAAGCTCGTGCGCTTTACAAATTCGTCCAGGATAATGAAGAAGAGCTTTCGTGGTTAGCTGAAAAAGAACATCTTTGCCGTCGTGCTTTAGCAGTCAGTGATATCGCAGCAGTGCAACAAACTTCACTTCTTTATAAGGTTTGTGTAAAGCAATCATGTCGCAGAGGTGATAAAGTGTTTATTGCTATTCTTGGCAAAACTGTGGGAAAGTGTGGTTTTTATAGAATACCGAAACGGAAATGCAGTCACACTGGGCTCGCAGTAAAGACATGATGGCTGCTGGTGAACATCTTATAGAGAATGGGCAATCTCGTGAGGACATTCAGGTGAGAACACATCAATTGTTTTCATTACCACTCCATTCTTATTTGTAAATCTAAATGTTGTTGAACCTCAAACATAGAAACTGAATAATAGAAAGTGAGGTGATTGAAGAACGATTGTAGATTGTGAGAAGGCAAAAGGAGGCGAAAATTTCTGAGGTTTCTACGTCCTGTGAAAATTCTTGAATTCCTCTATGACATGTTTCGATCGGCAATGGAAAAACCGTGCCAAAAGTTCGCTTTCTTAATTGATCATTTTGAGATAATCGAAGAATTTTTTAAGGAATTTTCAGTCATATTAATATTGTTATTAAACGTTGATTCACGAGAAAACTTGCGTTGAGCAAGTTCCAATTGATGAATCCGTTTTTTAGAGCCGTATCCATGATATGCAGCAAGGCTGGGAAAGACTTCGTGCTGCTCATCAAGCATTGGGGCAGTGGCTTAACCAAGCCAAGCAAGCGCAGCAATACTTCCAAGTAAGTTTTCGCTTTTACTTGAGGAACCTATGGATTGCAAGAATTTGCGAAAAATTTTAAAATAAATTTGCGCATATCTTCAGGATGCCAATGAGGCTGAATCTTGGATTCGTGAGAAGATGCCATTAGTGAAAAGTGACGATCTTGGTCGTGATGAAGGCGCTGCAGAATCACTGTTACAGCGACATGCACGCCTTGAAGAAGAGATCCATGCTTATAGGTAGACATAGTTAGATCAGCTTCTTCACAAGAATTATCGCTGTGCTTCCTAGGGCCGATATCGTAAGACTAGAAGAAATGAGCCACCAGCTCGCTAATAGCTCCTTCGTTACGGCTACGACAAGCATGCAAGAGGTCAGAAATCTACTTCTAATGTGTTTTTTCTATCAAATCATGGGGAAATTTTAGACGGAAGAGGTTACTGTACCGCAGATTGAAATGCTGTACAAATATGAAGGCAATGGAATGTCTGTAATGAAAGGTGAAGTGTTAGCTCTTCTGGAGCAATCAACACCTGAATGGTGGCGCGTCTTGAAACAGGACGGCACGGAAGGATTCGTGCCGGCTAATTATTGCCGAAAAGTTCCAGGTGAAACGGTAAGTTGGGTGGAGAGCATGGAGTAGATGTGAAAGACTAATATGATATCTGTACTAACAGTTACAGCTGTAAAAAGTTAGTTATATTTACATTCTGCAGGTTACCGTAACCCAAACCACGACTACAGTAAGACCCCAAAGTGACGTTGCCGACAGCCGTCGTGCAATAGTTGATCGCCAGAAGATGATCTCATCTGACTATAGACAACTGAATAGCCTCGCTGAAGTCAGAAGACGCCTTTTGTCGGATAATATCAAACTTATGAGGTACGATAACTCCCTTCCTCTTGTTTTCTGCCGCTTAATTTTGCTTCATTCTCAATTTAAGGTTCTATCGTGAATGTGATGAGTTCGAAGGATGGGCTCGAGAAACCGAGGCTGCTCTGTTAGATGAGCCTAGCGTAGAACATGTGAAAGCATTCCGTAAGAAGTTCGATCGCTTGGAAGCTGAGATGAAGACCAGCGGCGGCACCCAACTGAAGCATATCAATGTTATGGCAGATGAGCTAATTGGTGAGGGGCACAGCCAGTCGAAACAGATCGAAGCGCGACAAAGAAAGGTTAGTGAAAAATACTCTCATGATCAGCACTTATAATTTTGTTATAGGTGAATGCTCTGTGGGCGGAGCTTGAACGTTTACGCGCTAAGCGTGCTGCCAAATTGGAAACCACCGAAAGAATTGCTGACTTTGATTCATCTTGCGATGATACAAGAGAATGGATGCAGGTTTGTTGATGTAGACGTTTGTAAACTTCGGTCATTTGTTTCCCATTTTTCGCCAATTTTTTAGTATTTCTGTTGTTAATTATGGATTATGATTTCGTCTGATTTTGCAAAACTGGTTTTTTCTCACCAATACGTTTGCAGGGCAAATTCGACCTCCTTGATAGAAATCCAAACGATTTGAAGAGCCTTCAGAACCTTGAACGTGATCTCAAACCTTTGGAGGATAAGATTCACTACCTAGAAAAGCTGGCAGCCGAGGTACGATTGGAGTAAGCGCTCCGCCCACTACTAAGTGAATATTTTTGCGTGCAGGTCAAAAAGAAAAACCCCGAAGCAGCTGCCGCAATCGAAAAGAAGATTGCTCAGCTTCGTGGCCTCCACAATGATCTCTTGCGTAGAGCTCATGAAAAGATCAAGATTGCTGAACAATCTCAAGGTATGTGATTAGTAATTTGTCAAGGACTTCTGAAGAAGAAAATGGAAGAAACCGTTTTTTAGGCCAAGAAATGTTCGAATCTGCGCTGAGAGATGTATTGAATTGGATTGATCGCACCAAGAAAGCTCTATCCGAAGAAGTACGTCCTCTGGATGTGCAGCAAGCCGAAGACCTCCTCAAGAAGCATTACGAACTAGGAGAGCAGATAAAAGACAAGAAATATGAAGTATGGCTAGTGTACCGGTAAAATTGCCCTGAGCAGATTGTGTCCGTTTTTTTATAGTTGGAGTACGTGCAAGAGCTTGGACACCGTTTACTCGAGAAGAATCCTCGACTGCGTGAAGTTGAAGCACAGTTGAATCATTTGGGAGCGGAAATGACTGCAGTAAAGGTATCAGACTTTTTCAGATAGATTTAAGGTCTCACTGACGGCTCTTTTTGTAGAATATGTACCGCATCCGCGACGCTCAGCTGAAGGAACAACTTGATTTACAACTGTTCAATCGCGAAGCTGAACGTATCGATGCTGCCACAAAGGGTCATGAAGCTTTCTTAGATTATGCTGACCTTGGAGTGAGTCATTTTTTATTTTTGTAGTCTTCTTCGCTTCTTTTCTTTTTTTGATCTCTCGAGGTTTCTTTGTCCATGCCCTTTTCTTTGAGAATGTCTTTCTAGGATTCCGTGGAATCTGTGGAAAATCTGTTGAAACGTCATCGTGACTTGGAGGCTAAGTTAGATGCTCAAGAGGGCAGACTTGCAGCTTTCTCCAAAAATGCAGATGAACTACTCAGAAATAAGCATTCTGAAAGCCCCTATATAGATAAGGTAGGTAAATTTCTATGTGTCACTCTATATCTGGATGTACCCTATATCTTCTAGCGCCGTAACGATGTAATCGCTCGCCGTGGTGCTGTGCGAAGAATGGCTGCTGAACGTCGCGCTCGTCTTGAAGCGTCTCTAGAATACCAGAATATGAAGAGAGACGCTGAAGAAATGATGTCTTGGATTCATGAGAAGAAGAAGGTAGACCTACACGACCTGCTGGAGACGGTTGATTGATGATTATCTTTGATTTAGCTAGCCAACGACGAGTCCCACCGAGATCTTACTTCAATCGCAAACAAGCTCTTGAAGCATGAAGCCTTCGAGGCAGAAGTCAAAGCGAACGCTCCTCGAATAACACAGATCAATAGAGTAAGTTAAATTTGTAATTGCAATGGTTTTTGTTGGATACTCTGAGAATTATATTACAGCTTGGCGCTGCGCTTATCAACCAGAGGCACTACGAGTCCCCCAATGTTGAACGTTTGCTGAAACGAGTCAACGCTGAGTGGGCTGAGCTTTGTGATGCTGTCAACAAAAAAGGCGAAAAATTGCGTCAGGCCTCTGATCAGAAGGTAGGTTTTTTAGATCATACAAAAAGGAGAGGTTTTTTTTATTATTCTATGTTTTAGGGTCTCAACCGCATTCTTGAAGACGCCCATGCAAAACTTGACGAACTTGAGACAGTTTTGAGGTCGGATGAACTGGGCTCGGATCTAAGAGCTGTCAAGGATTTGATCCAGAAACATTCCGTACTTGAGCAGGAGATGGGACTGTACGAGAGTAAGGTGAGTAATTTGATTTCAAGATATGTGCGATTTTAGATGCTAATTGGTTGTTATCTATAGCTGACAGACATCTACAAACGAGGACGAAGAATGGCTGAAGAGGGTCATTTTGATGCAGATAGAATCAACTACACTGTAGCAGCTTTACTCAAGAGGTGAGAGGTGTTTTTGGTCTATGTGTGAATTCTCACTTCATCTCAACTTTTTAGGTTTGAGGGGCTCAAGGGTCCTGCGGCAGCTCGCCGGGCAGCACTAGAAGAATCCAGAAAATGGCACCAACTTGCCTTCGATGTTGATTGTGAGCTACAATGGATTGCTGAGAAGGTATGCTCAGTAGCAGTAGTTGTTGTTGCAAAAAATTCTCAAAGAACAGCAAGTGGGCGTGGCTGAGGGCGGAGCCGTCCCTAACATACCTCTCCACTCTCTACTCTCACCACTGATGCTAGAGTGCCAAAAAACACCGCAATATCAGGTTAATTTTTCAGAAACCGATAGCATCATCCGAAGACACGGGTAGAAATCTTACTGAAGCACTGAATATGGTGAAGAAACAAGATCAATTGGAAGCTGAAGTCCATCAGCACTCCAGTCATATCGAGGGTACAATCAATCAAGGAGAAGCGCTGATTCGTGGTGGACACACGGCTGCAAAGCAAATCAAAGACAAGTGCGAGCAGGTGGGGTATCTCTAATACTATCATGAAATTCTGCACCTGTTTTCTTCCATGCGAGCACGTTTCAGACGGATAATAAGCATACAGAGGCTGAAAAGGTGAAGTAGATAGGGTGTTGTGCTTTTATATGTATAGAGTGCTTTGATGAGTGGTGCCAAGTGATGTTATTTTTTTCGTTTTAGTTTTGGGAGTGTTGATGTAATCAGAAGTCATAAAAAGATCTGATGTTTGTGTTGTAGCTTGCTGGTGCGTGGGCACATCTGGCTCATCTTGTAAGAAGACGTCGCCAAGTTGTTGATTGGGGTGTGAAGGAGCAGCAATACATGTTTGATGCTGCGGAGGTAGATTTGTGATTTTTGTGATTTTGCACAAAAGACTGAAGTAATGCCTTTAGGTTGAATCTTGGATGAATGAGAAGCGTGCAGCGTTGGAATCTGATAACTATGGACAAGACGAAGATGCAGCACAGAAACTCTTAGCGAAGCATCGCGCTCTACAAAAGGATATGCAGACATACCGACAGTGAGTTAATTAAACTTGACTTATATGATAACTTCCTTCCATTTTGCATTGACTTTTCAACTGCAAATTTTCTTTTTTTTTTTCGAAATGTAGGGTAGTGGTGGCAAAATTTGTTTACTTTTCAACAGAGTTTGGGAAGAGATTTCGAAACAGTTTCCTGCAAGAGTTCCCCTCAAAAAAATGTTTTTCGTCATACATCCGAGCACAAACGCTTGTTTGATGGTGTGAAGCAGATGAAATTCGCTTTATGCGAAGTATTGTCTCCAGCTGGTACTTACGTTGCTTCCAGATGGTTGGACAAGCTTGCTATCAAGTGCACAGAACTTGTGGATTCTAGACGCCCAAATGTCGAGCGCTTCGGAGTGAGACAGAAGGAATTAGAGACTGAATTTGATAGACTAAGTCGACTAGGTAGGGCTAACAATAGTGTAGCGTAGCTTTTACTAGCTACCACTAATGGCAGTGATTTTCATTCTACAATAACCAAGTATTTGCAGCCGAAGAACGACGTCGTGCTCTCGAGGATACTGTACATTTGTTCGAATACATGCGAGAAAGCGCTGATCTTGAACAGTGGATCAACGAGCAATTGCAGACAGCAATGAGCGAAGAATACGGAGATGATTATGAGCACTTCAAGGTTTGTCTCCCATACCTCCTGATGTAGATAGTTTTCGACTGCTGTTTTTGTAGGAGCTTCAATCGCGTTTCGAGGAATTCAAGCAAAGCGTGAGAACTGGCAGTGAACGGTTTGTGTCATGTGAAGCAGCCGCAAACGCGCTGCTGAGGAGGAACCCACCTTTCGGACGTGATATCTTGAAGAAGCAAGAGAAGCTGCGATCGGTTAGTTTTTATACTGAGTGTTCTCGCGCAGTAAACAAGTTTGTGGTCTACAGGTCTGGACGTTGCTCTTGGACTATATTGAATCAAGAGAGTCGAAATTGGCTGCTGCTGAGGAATTGCACAGATTCAACCAAGATGTATTGGAGCATGAAGAGTGGGTCCATGATAAGAGGTCGAATATGTCGAAGGATATGGGAAGGAATATTCAACAGGTAACTGTCATAGCTTGATTGTCCATTGCGAGCTATACGGTATCATTCAGGCCAAATCTTTGAGTCAGAAACATGAGACACTTGAAAAAGAAGTAGCTGGTATGGAGCCACGGTTACAGGTGAGATCTGTCATGATTACGATGGGTGTGATCTTTCTCTTTACACCGATATCCTTGCTCATCTTCGCCTTTTTGCTACAATTTAGCCTCTTAGATCTTTTAAGTTTTATGTCTGTTATCATTTTCTCCAAAAAAAAAACCGCTTACTTATAGAGACTTCTGGCCGAATCTGCTCGGCTGAAAGAAGCCTATCCTGGTGGAAACGCTGAGCATATTGCTCAGCAGCAAGTAGAGTTGGCTGAGAGCTGGCAGGACCTGCTGAATGCCATCGACGACAGACGTGATGAGCTGCGTGCAGCTAGGGATATGCACCGGTATGAACTTAGCTGTTACAATCTAGCAGAAGCCGTATGATTGATGTTTGCAGTTTCAACGCTGATGTTCGTGATCTGCTTGCATGGGCTGATATAACTATCGCAGATATGCAAACGGAAATGCAGGTAAAACCAAGTTTTCTTGATTTCCGAAGCTTCAAGTACATTTTGCATTTTCTGTTCTCAGGTCAATGGTTTGCAACAAGCTGAAGCTCTGCAGAAGGAACATTCGAGACTTCGTGGCGAGATTGCTGCTAGGGCACCTGAATTCGAGAAAGTCGCGCGTTCCGGAGATGCAATGATCCAGCGTGGACATTTTGATAAAGTAAACATTGCCAAGAAAGTACATCAGGTATGTCTTGTAGTTTGGTACTACATCTGTTCGATCATTTCCACTCATTACGAATTTTTTTCGCTCTTTATGTCTTTCAGTATCAGCAAAGTCTTTAGGTCACAACTGCTTTGGAACGTCTACAATCAGAATGGGATCTTCGCGAAAGTTATCTAGTACAGTTGGTCCAATGGCATGCTCTCCAGCAAGAGGCCAACCAAATTCTGACCCTCATTGCAAGCAAGAGGGCTACTTTACGGTGGGTCTCATGCATATATTTTACTAGTTGGCTTTCCCGGTCCAGCCCGGGCCATTTTCATCTGCACTGCGAGCTCCCCCTCTCCCCCCCCCCCCCTCTTATATTGGATGACTTACCCCGGAACATCCGCTTCGATACCGCATCCTCGCGATCCCGAGGTAAAAATGAGCTTCACCGCCCTCCTTTACTTGAAATGGGAAAATGCTCGATTAAGCATGATAAGCTTTCAATTCCTTAGAAAAACGTAAACAAATCAATAAATCGACAGAAGGACCCCTTGAATCGCCGCGAAAAATAGCCTATCATCTGCGCAGGGGTCGAAAACATAAGTGAGCAAAGTTTCAGATGAATCGGTTGAGCGGCGCGAGTTTCTATAAGGCACATACCCTCCAAACTGACAATTTTTGAGTTTTATATATATATATAGATTGACGTCTATTGCGAATTCCTAACTTCCCTCACTTTTCTGTTTCCAGCCAGTTAGCCGTTGGAGGCAGCGTTGCTGATGTCGAGGGTCAGCAAAAACGTCTGGACACGTTTGCAAAGGCTCTTTCGACTTTGGATGAGAGAACAAAAGTGAGCATTTCTTTTTTTTACTCATCACCGCTACTCATTTTTGTTTAGGCCTTGGACCGAACTGCAAATGAACTTATTGCTAACAATCATATGGAGAAAAACAACATCGAGATGTCGAAAAAGAAGGTAGGCTCGCCTAACTCCCGATGTAACCGTAGTTATTGCTTCTTTATAGGTGCACGACGCACTTTCTCTACTTCACAGTGACGTGGAACAGCGTCATTTACTACTGAATGATGCATTTATGGTGGCTACATTTGACCGTGACGTCGCCGATACTGAAGCTTGGATTGATGACAAACTCAAAAAGTAGTGTGGTTATACAAATTTCCTTTTTATTGCGAAGCAGTCTTCGTTTAGTATCCGCCTGGAAAAGGAACGCCAGGGACAATGCACTACGATTGAAGATAAAATGAGACGTCTTCAGAAACATCAAGCTCTAGAGGCGGAGTTGGCGGCTAACCGTAAACGCATTGACCAAGTTCTACAGCGTGGAAAAGAATTGCAGTTGAAGCATCGTGATGCTGGAGTGAGTTTCGGAATTGTTTCCTTCCTGTTTTTTATGGAAACATTTGATTTGAATTTTTTTGAATCAGTGAAAATGTCACTGAAATATTCCGGATTATTTTTTATTATGAATCCATGTACATATTGCAATAGTCAAATTGGGACACTCATCGTTTGCTTCAGATTTCTGGTCGCTGCGATGGCTTGTACAATCGTTGGAACTTACTGGTAGATGCTTGCGCCGAGCAGTCTCGAGCTCTTGAGGAAGCTCGCGATCTACTCACTTTCAGACAACTTGTACGTCAATGAATTAGCTTGAGAAGTACAAATGCTATGCACGTTTTCAGGTCGATCGCGTTTTGCTATGGGTCCATGAAAGAGAGTTGATGGTGAATGCAGCTGATATGGGAAAAGATCTCGAGCACTGTAGAATACTTCTTGATCGGTTAGAAAATTGATTTGCATGTTTGTGGCTTGAGGTAATGGCCGTTTTTAGACTGGATGGTACACAAGCCGACTCTTCTGTTGATGAACAAACCTTGGATCAAATCAATCGCCTTGGAGAGAAGCTGATTGGACAAGGAAGGACAAGCCGTGAAGAAGTGCAACAACAACAGCAGCTTCTGAATCAGACGTATGTACCTGTTAGAAAGGTAAAAAGTGGAAAAAATACCACCTTTTTCAGGTGGAACTCCCTACAAGGAAAGTTGGCCTCCTATCGCAGAGAGCTTACAGCAGCACTAGAGGTCCACGCTTTCAATCGCGATGTTGACGATACCAATGAAAGAATTCATGAAAAAATTGCTGCAATGAGGAGCGATGACTATGGACGAGACTTTGCATCGTGAGTCTTCTCACATTTTGGGATATCCCGTCAACAAACACTTTCAATTTTTGCTAAGAGAACGGCCATAGGTTGTCGGTGTTGTCGATGTTGTCGGTGTTGTCGATGTTGTCGATGTTGTCGGTGTTGTCGGGGTTGTCGGTGCTGTCGGACTTGCCGAGGTTGCCAGTCGTTGTAGGACCTCACTATAGCCTTCACGTTTCGCGCGCTCTCTAAACTGTCCCTGACCCCGACAACCCCGACAACATCGACAACACCGACAACACCGACAACATCGACAACACCTACAACACCGACAACCTATGGCCGTTCCCTAAGACATTCAACATATTGCTTGTAAATTGCTTGGTTTAGTGTTGACGCGTTACTGCGTAAACAGACTGCTTTGGAAAGAGATATGAGTGCTATACATCAAAAACTCATCGCTCACGACAAAGATGCGCAAGCAATTCTTGCTAAGGTGAGTTAGTAGTTCGCAATATTTATTGCCATTTTTGCAAAAAAAAGTTGCATTTATTCCTTTTGTCTCTTTTCAGAAGCCACCGCTCAAAAACACCATTCTGGATTCCTTGAAAAAGCTCGAAGAGAGCTGGAAAGAACTAAGTCAAGCCGCTGAACTACGTAATGAATGCTTGGATAAATCGTAAGTCGTCTCAGGTTTTGCCTGCTCCTTTCGGTAAAATGAACCACAACTGAAATGAAGTGAACTCTGAGTATAGTGTGCCCAATGAAACAATTTGTCAAGTTTATGGCACGTCTCGTTTTGTTTAATTGAATAGTGATTACTTTCATTGCTAATCTCATTTGTAAGCTTCTGACTTGTATTTTTTTTCAGCTACAAACTGTACAAGTACATCGACCAAGTCAAAAAAGCAGAACAATGGGCAGCGCAGCTGCGAAACAAGATGACTTCATACCAGACACCTAAGACTACTGCTGAAGCTGAACAGTTGATTGCACAACATGCTGAGCGACGTGCTGAGATTGACGGACGTCAGGTAAGCCTGCATAGACACTTAAGAAAATTTGTAAATAGCGAACGTTCAGGATGAGCTACATATCCTACATGAAGAAGGTCAACGCTTAATTGCTGAGCAACCAGAGCACAAACCAGAGGTGCAAAGAGCTCATAAGAGAGTGCAGAACTCCGAACATCAGCTCAGGCAAACATGGGAGGCTGAAAAGGTAAGCAAATCATAGACTCATATAAAATGCTTCTATCGCCTCAAATATTTATGGTCCCAAAAATGTGTGAGATGTTCTAGGCATCACTCCAACGAACTCTGGAATGGCTCCAGTGGTGTGACCAAGCTGGCATGTGCGAAAGATGGCTGGCTGACAAAGAAAATCTGCTCAAACAAGGTGATATTGGAGATACTCCGGATGCGGTACAGGTATGTAACGGCTAGGTTGTCGATATATTAATTTTTTGAATTAGTTTCATTGACTATCGATGATTTCTTATTGTAGCTGTTGATCAAATCGCATGATGCTTTCGAAGAAACTGTGAAAAAGCAAAGTGAGAAACTAGAATGTCTCAAAGTTGACGCACAGAAGCTGATGTCCAGTGACAATGAATATCGCGGAGATATCGCAGCAAGGTAGACTTCATAGCTTTGAAAAGTTCTTTTTGAGAAAGCCATGAATTTTTTAGGTGTGACGAAGTGATGCAACGCCATGCCAACATGCTGGAAGCTTCATCAATGAGGCGTATGCTCCTGGGTGACAGCAAAAAATACCATGAATTCATTCGCACCTGTGGTGAACTAATCACCTGGATCAATGCCAAGCTGCAACTTGCTTATGATGAATCCTACCTCGATCCAACAAACCTCCGATCGAAACTGCAGAAACATTTAGCCTTCGATTCCGAACTGACTGAGAATGAGAAGCGGCTGGTGGCTGTGGAAGCACAGGGTGAACAACTGATCAAGGAAAAGCATTTTATGAGCGAGCAAGTTCGTGCTCAACTTGGTGAGCTTCGAAGTGGTTGGGATGAACTGCGCACAAAGTCAGCTTTGAAGACGCAGAGACTCCGAGAAGCGTATGAAGCTCATACGCTTCAGCGTAAAGTTGAAGATATGGAAAGATGGCTAGATCGTATTGAAGGAGAACTGGCAACCGAAGATCATGGCAGAGATCTCCTCTCCGTTGAACATCTCATGAAGAAATTGGACGCGCTGGACGCTGAAATCCGTGGACGAGCAGATGCTGTCAACGATCTGATGCAGAAAGCTCGAGAAATCAAAACGCTTGGTTCACCTACCTCAGATGCAATCCTTGGAGCTGCCGAACAAGTTGTTGCACGATATTCTTCCCTTAATGAGCCTGTACAGATCAGAAGAGATAATCTTCGCGATGCTCACGCTTTATATGAATGGACTGCTTGCGCTGAAGAAGAGCTAGAATGGTTAGCTGACAAAATGCCACTAGCAAAGAGCCAGGAGTGTGGTGATAGTCTAACGGCTGCACAAAGTTTGCAGAAAAAGCATATAGCGCTCGAAAAGGAGTTGGACTCGCGCCAAACTGGAATTCATGAGATCGAGTCGAAAGGAATGGCTATGATTCGTGCGAAACACTTTGCGGCACCACAGATTGAGAAGACGATTGACACTTTGTCATCTGCTATGTTATCAATCAAGGATGCAGCATCACAGAGAAGAATTCGTCTACAGCAAGCTGTCGACAGTCATCAGTACTATACTGAAGCGGCAGAGGCCGAGCAATGGATTAGGGATCAGATGCCTGTTGCCACCAACCAGGAAACAGGCCGTGATCAGGCAGCTGCTGAAGGATACCTGAGAAGACTGACTGTCCTTGACAAAGAAGTTGCGAAGTTCAGAGATGAGATAGAACGACTGCGAGGTCGATGTGATTCGTTGCAAGACCATCAGAATGCAAATCAAATTGCTGCTCGACAAGTCAAGCTAGAGAGTGCCTATGCTGATCTAGTGAAGGAGTGTAACAGAAGACGAACACAGCTCGTGGATGCTGGACGTTACCACAGGTTTGTGCGACAAGTCGATGATCTGTCTGACTGGCTCCATGATAAAGAACACCTGGCTTCGTCGGAAGACTATGGTCGCGATTTAGAAGACTGCGTACAACTTACCGAAAAGTTTGAGACCGTAGTGCGTGAGCTGGCGGCCGCTGGAGAACGAGTTGCTGCTGTACAAAGAGCTCAAGAAGAACTGCTTAGAAGTGGCCATCCCTACGCTGCATCCATCCGCGCCAAAGGAACTGATCTCAACAGCTTGTGGACCTCCGTCAATGAGGCGGCAACTGAACGACAGCAAGCTTTGGCTGGGGCACGACAAGTGCATAGATTCGATCAGGAAGCTGATGAGACGCTGAACTGGCTTGGTGACAAAGAAGCGACCGGTGTAGCTATGGAAAACGAAGATCTTGCTCATGCTGACTTAGCAACGATAAAAGTGCAAATGCAGCGCCATGATGAGTTCGTACACGGGATGAGAGCTGTTGAGAAGCAAGTCGCTGAACTATGCCGGGAAGCTGAGCGCTTATGGACAGCGTTCCCGAACACTCGCGAACATCTTGAAGTACGTAAAATGGACATGGAAGAGCAGTTGAAGGATATCTTGGAAGGAACAAGAAGACATCAAGAGAGGCTGCAGCATATGGAGAGCCTCCAGGCATACTTCCAAGAATATCGAGAGTTAATGCAGTGGATGAAGACGATGCAAGCGATGATGACGTCAGAACAACTTCCTAGAGATGTTGCTGGTTGTGAAGCGCTAGCCCGGCGTCATGATGAGTATAACTTGGAAATGCAAGGTCGCAAATCTCATATCGATGAGTTCAATCGTCAAGGAAAACAAATGATCCAGTCAGGACATGTGCTCTCTCAAGAGATCAATGAAAAGGTACGGCAATATTAAATTTTGTCTTGTATAGCCTCGAGAATTGAGTGTTGCAGGTAGAGACCCTTGAAAGGTCTTGGGCTGTACTGCTTGACGTGTGGAAAGATCGTAATGAGCTTTACCTTGAAAATATGGATTGTCAACGATGGAAACAGAATGCTGCACAGCTTGAGCAATGGTTGTTGGAAAGAGAACGATTGCTTGGTGAGTTCGACTTACTCTCAATTACATTTGACGAGGCGGGGGAGGGGGGGAGGGGGGGGGGGGGGAGAGCAGCAATCAAGATAGCAGATTATGGGCCAGCGTGATATTCTGATGCAGGTTGGGGTATGCTGGCAGATTCCTTGAAGTAGAGGGGGCGAGGGGAGGGAGGAGCAAAAGTGGGCGGAGTCGGTAGCTATCCTCACGCCCTTCTTCTATTTTTCATGCATCAGCGGATGGTTATCAAATGGTGTAAATTGTTGACTAATCGCTATATCTGTAGACCAGTGGCGTACCGAGGGGGAGGGGCGGGGGAAGGGCGCCCCCCCCCCCGAGAACGGGTCGCGAAATTTTTGAAAGTTACTTACATGAGTTATAAAAAGGTGCAAGTGACTTGTTTATTTTTGTAAACAATTAAAATAATTTTTAAAAATTTTTAAAAATTCAATTTAGCCCTGTAAAAAAATTTTTTCGGGGGCGTGTTGGGGACCCGCAAAAATTTTGAGAAGCACCCCTAAAATTTTTTCGGAGTGCGTGGCTGACGCCACGCACCTTCATTTGAAAAAATTTTTTGCCGCGCCCCCCCCCCCCCTCCCCCGAGCCGAAATCCTGGGTACGCCACTGCTGTAGACTAAAGCACCTTTATCACTTTCACCTCTTGTAGGTGACGATTGGCGCCATATCGACACCGTCGAGAATGCCGAAACGCAGATTCGTGACTACGATGACTTCCTGATTACCCTGGACGCCCAATCAGATCGATGTGATATGGTGAAACGACTTACTCTAATTGAGCAAAGCTTCAGTCGCCTCAGGAAGAAGGAGGTAAACTATATAACTGCAGAGTATTCGCTCCTAACGTCTAATTATTTTGCCCCAGGTTGAACGATCTCGTATTGCCGAAGAAGATCAGAAACGACGTGATACCATCAAAGTGGTCGAGAAAGGACAAATCCTTGCTAACAGAAGACAGGAGAGAGAAAGGAGAAAGACGCAAGAAATCTCTCTGCTACGCCCCAATCAGAGCGAGGATTATTCAAGCCAAACCCTGCCGAAGAAAGAGCGAGCAGAACGCAGCAAAACCACTGCACTTGGTAGGTGTTTTCAACTGCTTTAGTTTGCTCTTGCTGACAAGAATTAATCTTTAAAGGTGAGAGTGTATCAATTGGTGGTCCATCAACCATAGTCGCACCGAGTGTAAATGCTCCAGCCAATGTGTCAGCTGTAGAGGTTGATATGAAGAAAACACCATCATTCACTACTCGAAGAGGAAATTCAGTGACTAGGAGTAGCAGCAGTCGCTGGGAGGACCTAGGAGCGATTGATATGAGAGGGTAATTTATAGATGGTTTTCTTCTGCTAAAAACTTTGAATGGTCTATACCTTTTTATGTTTTCTGAGATTTTTACGTAGTGCGTGTCTCCACCTTCTTTCGCGTACGCAACACCGCGTTCTTTTTTGACTTCGAACATCTTGATTGAAAAAGGGTGAAGGAGCTAGTTGGTCAAAATTTTTATAGTGAATTTCAGTTTTGTCGATCGCAAACAAGATCTACAAAGTGGTGGTAAGAAGGCAACAATTAGATCATGGAAGAATTACTATTCTATCCTTTGTGGCCAATTGATGTGTTTCTTCAAGGTAGTGAATAAATCAATAGGTTGTTGGCAAGTGCTGAGCTGAAACGAATGGGTCATCACTTTAGGACGAAGCTGGTTTTTATGATAATATCGCAGCTGCACCACCTGTCTATATCTATGGTGCCAGATGCGAACCTTTCCCAGAGTATGTGAAGAGGAAGCATGCCTACAGGTAAGTGAAGCTCTTATGATATTAAGTAGAGTCAAATCTTGATATTTTTGAGGCTTGCTACCCAAGATGGTGCTGAGTATGTATTTGCATGTGCCGATGAGCGACAAATGCTTGAATGGGTCGCAAAGATCAAGTTCCATGCTGAGCTCACACCCAGCAATCAGCTGAAGTCATACAATTATCACGGTAATCTTTCAGCTTATTCGCATGCAGTCGGATCTTTTATGCTCTAATTTTGTTTTGGAAGTTTGTTTATTGTTCTAATGTTGCATCTCTGCCTGATATGAGTCTTGTGTTAGATTTTCATTTATGGCTTCTTAACGGTTCAGTTCTTCTTCTTGTAGCATCAGAAACGTTGCCGATCGCACCTCCATTGCGACGTTATGAATCGCGATCTAGTAGCGATGAAGCTCCACCAATTCCAGCAATTCGTCAGAGCTTCAGAGATGAAACGTCGCGTCCAACGTCACGAGTGTCTGCATTTGATTCATATGATGGAACATTAGAACGCACTGGAAGCACTGTTGGACGTAAGTTCAAAGGGAGATAATCTTACTAGTAGATTTCAAAAAGATTTTTGACAAATTTTGCATCTTGTTTTTTAAAAAAATGTCTTTTAGGAGTGTAAGTGATGTAGGTATAGTAGAGATGAAATCAGCGTCCATGTTTCATTTTTCACGCTAGTTTCGATCAAGGAGTTGCATAGTGACTTTCACTGTTTTTCTACATTTTCGAGTTTCCAAACTTTCCTTTCTTTGAGTACGTCATGCTCAGTTTGCTTATACTTGTGTTTTGTGGCATGCCTGCTTATGCTTTTTAGTCAAGCTTTGCCTTTTTCCTGCTAAAGTTTGATGTTGTGTTGCTATTCTTCACTATCCGCACGGCTTCCTCTTTCCAGAATACGCCAACTATAATTCCCTACCACGTGGTGAATCCTCCTCCCATGTAGAGATTTCCCTTCGTCTGTGCTCTACGCTTCCTCGTGGAGAACGCAGTGGTCAGCTTGTGCGCCTCGACTCCTCCAACTCCTTGTCGAACTCTGGATCACACTTGCCAGCCCTTTTCGGTTCAAGAAAGGTTTCCTTGGTGCGAAGGTCGAGCACTCGTCAATCGATCTATGCGGAGAGCATATATGGCGAGGATGAGGTGGAGGATGACGCTAGTAAGGCTGATCAGGGTTTGTGAACACAACAACTTGGCATCGAGCACTTTGTCCGGATGGAACTAATTACACACAATGGATTGAATCTGTCACCTGTTAATGAGCACGGAGCAGATTGTTGAGGAATGAATTTCGCTCTCTTGGCACGTCACGCAAGCATTGCTGGCTCCTTTCCACTTGCACACGCTCTTGTGCGGCGAATAGTGCTGTCCCACCTAGAAAGTGTGATCTACAGCTATGGTAACAGACGACGGCATGCTACCGAGATTGTCCCGAGCCACGTTGTTCTTGCACGATATGTCTCATCACCTCGTGCACTTCAAAGTTCCGAGCTTGTATTTCGGTATTTTGTGCTTGCACTGTGCCAGTCATCTAGTCCTTCCATACCCACCGGGAAATGGCCATTTTCGCACGGAATGCTCACTCATCATCACAGGGCTCAGGCAGAGTTCACGCGATTTCATCGCCTTGCAATTCTCCTTCAAACAAAACAACAGTTTCGAGTTCATTGCATGCTGGTCATTTTGCATTTCGGTTGTGATGATCAAGCAGGATTAGTCGTGTCGAAAAACTATCGCAACCGAAATGCAAAATGAATGGCTTGAAATGGACTCGTAACTGTTGTCTGTTGGGAGAATAGCGAGGCGACGAAATCGCGTGAACTCTGCTCGAGGCCTTATACGGTGCTAGATCTCACCGTGCACTTCGTCACACATGCATAAAGTGCAAAAACTTGGAAAAAAATCCAGGCATCTCGATAGCCATTGCCGGTTCCGTACGGCTCTGTTCCCGCATGACACCCTCGCTTGGATCCTGCATCGCGTCTGCTACGTGGATATGTTCTGGGCTCCTCACGCTTGATGGGTGGGGGCTTGGAAATAAGCCCAGAGGATGCCTTCGCAGAAGCGACGCAGGATTCAGCGAGACGTCCTCGCTGGACTGAAGCCGCATGAGCAGGTTACACTGTTAGTGAAATAGCGAGGACGGCAAGATTGTGGAAGAAGTGAAACTTCACGGTACGCCTTTCGAATGTGCAACAGTAGTTATATTTGCACCAGCACTAGGGCTGCCCATTGGAACTGAGCAGGATAGGATCAGTGTGGTATAACCCATGACCTTACTCAGACTTGTGATTCCGTCCATACCACAGAGCACAAAACTTCTTTCAGTCAGCTGTTCTCACAAAAAGATGTTTGATGTGATTTTTGAACGGCCTATGATATCGATGATATTTAGGAACGTCAACGACGATGTCTATGACATCGCGACCATCTCCAACCCCAATGTCTATGCGTCCGCCATCATCCACAAATGGATATATGGTCAGTAATAAATTTGTATGTTTTTTTTTCATAATTCAGTCGCACCTTTCTGCAATAAATTCTTGAAGCCCAAATTTTTTCTTTTGCGCTGCAGTTAAAATCATCATTCATAATTGATCTTAATGTGGTCTTTTACCCATGCCAAGTTATACTGCTTTCCCCATGAATGTAACCTTATACTAATTCTAGGAAACCCTGGTATATCAAGAACATGCCACATCAGCGTACAGACGTGAAACTACCCCATCAAGCCGTGATCGTGATAAGGAAACTGTCGAGTTCATCTCGTGGGTAGAGGATAACCAGTATGGTCGACAAACGCCCAGTACGCAACCTGTAACACCCTCATCACAAAACGATACCGATTCGCTGAAGAGCGAAAGTGAGTGAGCTTCTTATGGAAAGTCTCAGTTGCTGTCATTTTGCTTATTCTAATTTGTTCTTCTTCAGAGAAGCGCTTCTCCTTGTTTGGTAAACGTGGATCGAAGTCTCAGAAGTGAGACCATTCAGTGCTGAACGAAAAATTTTCCTTCCATCGAAAGTAATAGAGGTCACTTTAATTCTGAGTTTCTGTCACATTACCACTTAATGAATGCCTCATTATGCCCAGACGCCTTTAATGTACGACTTTCGATTTGTTCATTATCGATATGTTGTTTTGTTGTCCCAGTTGAACCATTCCATATGCTGTCTTATCTCTCTATCTCTCACTTCTAAAATTTTTTCTCTTTTGTACACAACGTTTTCATTGGTTTCAGTCGTTATATTGCGTGTTTCTCTAGAGTTTTGTTTTCCCTTAAAGTGATCAGATTTATATGTGTAGCTCAAAAAAGCGTGTCTTGAGTGTGTACTGCTCCATGCATATCACATTTCTTTTCTCCAATTCTATCCTTTATTTGAGTGTAGGTGAAGCTTGCTGTAACAGAGGCACAAAGCATACCGTCTAGCCCGATGATGTTATTGCTGATCAATGTGCGACTGTCTGCGAAGAAGTTTTTAATAATCAGAATAAATTATATTTTTATTTGAAGGCATTTTTTACGTCTTGCAAATGTTAAAAGTCACCATATATTGGAGTAGTATTGTGCTAAGACGTGTTTAAAATCAATACCTATTGTTAGTCGGTAAGAGATACTGCAGAAGTAAAAATCTGGCGATGTCATGGCAAAAGGACAGTATAGGCTGCTGTATGACAAAGGCGCGATATCTTTGGGCGCGAACGCGGCTTTATTAGCCGCAGAGCGCATGATGCGCCGAATTTACAACGGTGAAGATTCGCGCGCATCGCGTTCCCGCCCGCTCAACTAATACTGCTTCTGCGTCTTCGTCATGCAGTAGCCTTTATGTGTCGAACCTAATGAAGGCGGTGTGTTTGCGGCCGTTGTGCTTTCTGTTGCTGTAGTACGTAATAGAACTTTTAGACTTTTTTCCTTCAACCGCTTTTCTGCCCTTGGATGTTCTAGTCACTTGAAGGGATTTTGAAAAGTAGGAAGGGGGGGGGGGATCTCATATTTTGAATGATTAGAGCCTTGTGGCGAACTGTAAGCTTTCCAATCTCTTTGAACTTCGCAATTTGGGAAAGTCCCATAGTGGTGGAGATACATGCTGCGGCCTAGGCTTCAGGTAGAAAATAAGTAAATCTTGCAGGCTCTGTGATTGAGTTCGTTGGCGCAAAAGTGGAAACTGTTGAAGATGGGGTATAGTCGACGTAATTCTATACTGAGAGGGCATCAGGTGTACCCTGTTTGTTGTCCAAAGTTTTTTTTGCGTAGTTCTTTCTGGAGCTTCTTTCGATTTTTTGATTGAACAAAAACGTCATTTTCTCAATTAACCATTGCGTTTAAACGACGTTGCCAGAGTTGAAAGTTGTCAGAACAAGCGTGGTGAGGAGTAAGAAATATTTCCTCAATCGAAAGCATCATCTGCAAGCAGATCGAAAGCATCATCTGCAAGCATAATGATTTGTCTCAATCATGAAGTCGTTCCTTTTTTCTAAAAGAGCCCACCTTTATCTTCTGATTTTTGGAAGTTAAATGAAATGGCATTTTCTTGGCAAAGTTTGTCTTTCTGCAGATTTGTAGATCAGCTTACGAACTGGAGCATGATAGCGCTTATAGAATGACACAACACAAAAATTCTAGGGAAGATCACCACAAAAGAGACCCTAGGGCAACATGTCAAAAAGGAGTACCACTATTTTGGTCATAGAGTACGTGTACTTGCAAATTCTATTTCGACATTTCGTAAGCTCAGAAATTTTGGAATGGAACTTGTATGTGTTGTGGAGACGCTAAGTGCTATCCCCTCTTCAACTGAGCGCAACTATTCTAATTTAGATCTTCCTATCGTACCTTTTGCTAAACTACAATTTTCCTTTGTATGGAAAGCCGTTTGAGGATATCGACGACGAATGAGCCCTTTACCTTGAGCTCCCCCCTACTCGCTCGCTCAGGGTTCCTGACGGATTCGTCCGCCTCGGATTAAGTTGGTCAGCCAAGCCCTGATAATTGTGACACGATGATGGCGCGTTCGGGCATGGGAACAGGAGCTCGGTGAAGACATCCTCATCGATTGAAGAAGGAGAACGGCCTGCACTTCCGACAAAGGAGATCCTGCTTTTCTTCCTGAACGGATCAGGCACTTTCGACTTTTATCTCGTTAACCTACTTTCTTCACAACAGTATATTTCATGTCATGGAGAAATACAAAAGATCCTGCTGGTGGCTTATGCGTCAGGGTATTTTGTATTAATAGCTGTCGTTCTGTACCAATGCTAATTCTTACTCGCGACAATAACTTGAGTGGAATTTAATGCACGTGTTGACTAGGAGCTTTTCTATGGTGCCGATTTACAAGACTATGGCGTGAGGTCGTTTAAGTGCAGTATCATGTTCCAGGTCATGAGCTAACTGTATAAATCCGCAGAAGGGCTACCCGCTAACATAATCTATTGTAGCGGTTCATCCACGCCTTAGTTCGCATGCACTGGTATGCCAGACTAATTTAGGGCATCATGAAAGATGTTTCTTTTGCTCGAAACATGCGCTGGTTTTTGCACAAACTCAAGATATTTGTGCATTTTTTATTGTCGTGGCTATATATGAGTGTTCTTAGTAATCGATATCGTTACCCGATACCCGATACCTCGATATCGATACCCATAGGGTCGCTAGTAAGTGGGTTGGGGCAGATACATTGATAACTGTCTGCGTGCAACTAAGAATAGCAAGGGAATGAATTACCATTTTTACAACGATTTTTTTCGCAATGCAAGTAGTAATAGAAGCAAAATCAGGCTCAAGCAAATTTTTCACAGCGACTATCGTCGAGTCATTCGTAACTTAATATGCGTAGTGCACACTAAACACGTTAACTGACGAAAGCAAAACTAAAGCCTGCTCATTTTTAGTGATTTCTGCTTGTTTCCTTGTCTCTTTTGTTTTTGTTGGTTACATGTTAGTCAATAGAACTTATTTCTACACTTTGCTGGGCTAAAAAATGTTTCACTGAAAAGTTACCAGTACGAGTGCCGTCGCTAACAGGGCTTAGTGTGCAGTCTCACACATTAAGTTACGAATGACCCGAGGTTAACTACCAAATCATAAACGCTGTTTTTCTTGCAAAGACCCACCCCAGCTCCTAATAATGGAAATCGCCTAAGCACTCATCTATGCAGAAAGCTGATTCAACCCGAAATTCATACTGATTTTTCAGGAGTGTGCGACGGCCGCAAACACATCGAGCTTCGCGATCATGCACGTCCTACACTGTCCTTATAATATGTCGCGAAGTCATTTCTTGAAGCGAGATCAAGTCCGGTCAAAAAGCTTTCTTTTGGACAATCTTAGCAAACATGTCCTGCCTCATAGACCACGACCACGAGATCAAGTCCCCTTTCCTTTTTTTGCTAAAGGGGGCAGAAGTATGATTTCTGCGAAGTAAAAGCGGCCAGGGTTTCAAGAAATATTTTTGATAAGTTAGCATTGATCTTGCCGCATAAGACCCCGGGACCTTCCTTCCCTCATGTCCAAGTTTGCTTTGCTTCTTTATTGTAGGAGGCAGAGGTGTGATTCCTGCGAAGTAAAAGCGGCCAAATTGGATATCAAGCGAGCTTTTGTACAGTTTAGCATTGAAATTGAGAAGTTCTTAGCAGAAATGCACTGCCGCATGAAGCCGTTAGGCATTCCTTCCCTCGAGATCAAGCTCTCGCTTTGCTTCTTTGTTATAGGAGGCAGAGGTATAATTTCTGCGAATTATTAGGTTGTAAAGGAAGAGTCCGGGCACTTTTAAAGATTTCGTTTTTTGATGCATTTTTTTGCCGCTCCGTCGGTATTTAACATCGAGTTTTTATACTATTCGGTAGAAGGAAGCCTAATCTTTTCGAAGCCGCTTCTAATTTTCATCGGTACCAAAGCATGTATGATCTGCACATCAAAAACACATGCACATCAAAAAAGTAAGCTTTCCAACCATGACAATTTTGCAATCTTTTTTCCTGCGGCCATTTTTTGTAAAGTTCATAGATTTTCGTCCAAATTGTGTGTGATCCAGTCGAGAAGACTGTTAGCTTCTGACCCGCAGCTGCACTCGTTTTGCGATTGCGCTCAGAAATTACAAGCTGTCAAACTTGCCTCTGACTTCTTGCCTCTTCCAGTTGCGAGCAAATCTCTCGCCGACATAATGGCTACTGGCTTCTCCTCTCGTCGTCACTGAGCGCCGTTATATTTCCACATTCCTTTTTCTGAAATCCTTCGCAAGCTGGATGAGTTGGGTCCCGGAATACCAAAGGGGAAAAGGGAGGGGGACCCCGTACTCAAAAATAATGACCGAATACTCGAAAAGAAGAAAGAAAAAGGAAGTGAAAGGGTTACTCATATCCCACCTTTCACCCGCTTCGTTGAAACCGAGTCTTCGGATCCCTGAGAGCTTCGTGTGCCACGCGGGTCTTCCACAATTGAGGTTGGGGCGTGAACACTCAAACTTGGGTAATTAAACCCTTTATTGATCATTAATCAACAACAACAAAACATACGAGGCAAAATACGAGGCGTAAGGCAACTCTAGTCGAACGTTGAGTATCGTAGTTAGCACCAGTAAAAGGATAAACACTACACGGCAAGTATAAGGCACAATGACCTGAGTACATGAGAAAAAATAGGAAAATAGCAAATAAACTCAACAAATAACATATGAACGCAACTGAGTAATAGAGAAACAGCAGATAGGTGCAAAAAAATGAACCGGAGCAAATGAACCGAAAATATGGGGCAAGTATGAGATGCAAACAATGAGGACAAAAGCATATGTGCCAGTACTACCTGAGTTATGCAAGACGAGTGACAGCAAGGTTATGAATCAACGGCCGACGAAGAAATGCCAGTTGAGGAGATCCGAGATCGATCACTGTGCGATGCTCCTTGGCCGCGGCCTAAAATACTTGGGTTTTGGCGCGCGGTAGGTCAACAGGGGGTGCTGAGGCCGGGGGTCAGATCCGGCCTCAGCACACTCCCGGGGGCCGTCAATGCTGGTAGTGTGCCAGTTGGTCTTCGAGGTAACTTCGTTCCTCCGGAAGCGGGCACAAGCTGTAGTGATGAGAACGTGACTTGCAGTACTTGCAGGACGTTCTTTCGTTACAAGGTTTTGGGCAAGTCTTGCCCAAACAGAAGAGGCATAAGTTACGATCTCGCACCAAGGATCTTCTTTCCTCAACGGATCTAAGCTTAGTGCATGCGTCTTCAATATGCGGACCTTGACAGAAAATGCATCTGTGGTGCTGTGATGGCTCGGCGGCGTCTTCTCCGTACTGACGCTTCTCGCAAGGCGCTAAGTGATCAAGACGACGTTGGAGTAGAGCGTAATCTGGGTCTCGAGGGGGACGCTTGGCTGGTGGGCGAGACCGGTTCTTTCATGTCTTCTGAGGGGTTTCCGACGGAGTGCTGGAGCGCTGGTGTTCAGACGTTTGGTCCGTGCGCAGTATGGCAGATATTTGAGTCATGAGATTGATCATGGAATTTATTATGAGTTCCGTACTGTCCGAGATTTTTCCTTCCAAATGGCGAGATTTCTCATCAATCAGCGTTGTTATCTGAAGCAGTTGCTGCGAGGCGGTTCCTTCGACACGTTTAGCTTTCTCTTCGAGGAGCATGGATTCGATTCTGTGTAACTTGCGCAAAATAGATTCAATGTCCGGGGAACGGGGGGGGGGTTATTCTTGTCCTCGAGGATGGTGTGCAGAATTTTCTCGTATCGTCGAGCTTCGAGTGGATGTCGACGTCTTCGGACACATAGGGTGAGTCATCCGTCTCCACGTGTGGGTTGAGAAATGGCACGATGTCCATAACTTCGAGTGCTCCTTGTTTGCCTCGCAACAGTTGGGTTTCTTCTTGGATGACGAAGAGATTGCAGTCCTTCGAGTTGATGCGTCCTCCTTGTCGTGGACGATTTTCGAACATTTGTCGGCTAAAGAAACGCGAAGCGTCCCGTTGCACTAGGCTGTCGTAGACTTCCCATAAAAGATGAGATACAACTTGTACTTTTTCCCATCTTTCCTTCAAGTGTTCGATAGCCGCGATAAGTTCGTTCTTCAAGTCGTAGAGCGGTTTCGCTCGTGCTGGATCCGGGTCGAATAGGCTGGCCTTTTCCTTGAGTTGTGAATATGCTTCTTCGATTTTTTGACGTTGCTGAATAAGCTTCGTTATTTCGGCATATACGACGTCCAGTCTTCGCTGAAGCTGCGATTCTTCGAACATCGAACTTCGTTCGTTGAAGGTGTTCATGAAGTTGTCGATGAATTCGTTTGGATCGTTCGCCATTCTGAAAATAGACGTATTCGACTGTGTAACTGATTTTTCGTATGTGCTAATGGAGTTGATTTCGTACTCTTCGGGGCTGTACGGGTACTGTTTGGAGGGGTTTCGCTTGGGGCGCCCTGGGGTTTCAGGTGAGGGTTCGCTTGGAAGTTCGGTGGGTGTAGGTGGGTTTTCGTGGGTGGGTAGGTGTTCGTGGTCGGGATCTGAATCCAGTAATTCTAGTGGTATGAGACTGTTTACTGGTCTCTTCGTCACTCTTCCGTTTGACATTCTGAGCTCGACTTGGCGTATTTGGTTTGGATTCTCCGTCCCTAAATTCGTTATTAATCCCATTTTCCAAGCATTTCTCGATAAAAATGGATCTTGTATAAGTACTACTTGTCCAACCCGGGGAAGTTTTGGGGAACTACGACCTTGATGTAGATGTTTTCGATGCTGCTCCCTCAATGACGTCAAATAGCTGTCTTTCCACAGCTTCCAAAACCCGTCCGTCAGCATTTGCGAGGCGTGTAGGGCTGACTTTGCTTCGTTTTGGGTCCTGAGCTGGACAGCCTCCTCCGGAGGTAGGAAGTTGGGATCCTCCCTATCGCTAAGGCCATCGTCTTCGACAGAATACGTGATGAGTAGCCTGTTCTGTATGAAGTCTATGGGCCTTATAGGGATAATTTCGTCCGGATTTTCCTCCTGGTACGTCAACGGTCTACTGTTCAGGGTGCCTTCGATTTCTACAAGCACGGTCCTGAGTGAGTCTTCGTCGACGATTTTCCTGCCAAGGGTTTTGTAGAGCGATTGTTTGACGTCTTTTATAAGACGCTCGTAAAACCCTCCTTGCCACGGTTCATACGGCTTGATCTTTTTCCAAATTATATGCGCGTTCGCCATAGTTTGATCCACTTCGTCGTTTTTTAGACAATCCGTGGTTATTCGCTCTGCTAATGCGAAATTCGTGGCGTTGTCGCAGGTGATCGAGTCCGGAACTCCTCGACGTGACATAAATCGACGTAGGGCGTTTATGAACGCTGTCGCCGAGTTGTCTCGGATGAGCTCAATGTGCATTAGGCGGGTTGTTGCACATGTGAATATGCATCCGTACGCTTTCGAGACAATGTTTTCGTTGCTTCGTATCTTCATGGGTCCGAACAGGTCTAGACCAATATTTTGAAAGCGTCGTGACCTGACTACTCTTCTGGTAGGTAGATCCGCTAATGGAGGGTACCGGAAAGGTAAGTTGTTGAATTTCTGACACGGTACGCGTCTCTGGATCTCCTTTTTCGTTTGTTGTCTCAGCTTCGGTATCCAGTACTTCTTTCGAACCTCCGCCATAGTTAGTCCGACTCCGCAGTGGAGCTTACCGTGCGCCTCTCGGATTATGAGCTGCGCTAAACGCGTGTTCGGCGCGATGAAAGTGGGGCTTTTGGCGTCTTCTTGCAGGCAACTATTGCCTAATCTTCCGAAGCATCTCCAGATACCTTTGTCGTCTCTGGTAATGTTGAGTTTTCGTTGCTCGTTGACTGTTATCAGAGCTTCGTGTTCTTTCTGGTGGAGCTTAATGATAGTCCTATCTGCTTGCATCAAATCTGCTCCTTGGAGCCTATCCGTAGCTTCCTGAATTCCACTGGCTCTTCTGATTTTCTGCTTCGGTTCCTCTGGTAAATTCTCCGCCAATTTATTCAGAAATTTGCCAACGTACGCTATGGTTCTTTTCAGTCTTCGAAGCGAGCTAAACCGTTCCTCCTGTATGAGTGGGTGACCCGCATGCGAGATTTGCAATACTTCAGCAGGATCAGGGGGTAATTGGAATCGTTCTAGCCCTTCATAACTGGCGTTTTCGTCCGTAAGTGAGGTCGGAGGGCCATCCCACCATATGTGATGTTGCAATTCCTCGGCTGTGAGACCTCGTGTGGCGCAGTCCGCTGGGTTTACCTTCGTGTTCATGTAGCCGAAATAGGTATTTACCCCTTCCTGCTCTAGTTTCTTCGCTATTTTCTTGATTTCTTTGATTCTATTCGTTACTAAGACTCCTGTAGCCTTCTGTGGGCTTTCGTTCTTCAGCCAACTCAAGGCTATCTCGGAGTCTGATAGGAGATAAACTGTGTTTATGTTGATAATTTTCTTCAATTCTTCGAAAGTGGATAACAACAGCCTTCCTGCTATCGTCAAGGCGTTGATTTCCAGCTTCGGGATTGTATGTGGCATCTTTAACGAAGGTAATTTCGACTTTGCAATCAGCAGGTGCTGTTCGGTTCCTTGCCTAATGTAAACAGCTGCTGCTAACGCGTAGGTGCTGGCGTCACTGCAGGCTATTAGTTGGTAGTTTCCTTGCTTCGTCCCTAGTTTTCTCGGTAGCTGCTTCGTGAAGCCTGCAATGTCCCACAACTTGTTCCACTGCTCCTGGTCCTCTTCAGAGAGCAAGTCGTCCCATCCATATGGTTTTAGCCACAACTGTTGGAAGAAGTGTTTGTTTCGCACCATAAGCGGTGTGAGCCAGCCTAATGGATCAAAATTGATGCGTTGACGTGTAGTACCGCTCGTTTCGTTACTCTTGTCAGCGGTTCTCCGTCGCATCTGGCTATTAATATGTCGTCGTTAGTGAGCCATTCGATCCCCAAGACCTTACACTTCGTTGAAGTGCTTCGGTCTCTTTCTGCGAAGTGTCTTCTGACTTCTGCATCATTCGTGGTGAACTCCCTCATGTTCATATTGATATCTTCGAAGATTCGTTTGACCTCTTTGTATTGTTTGACGGCTTCCTCTCTATCATCCGTCGTTAAGAAGAGGTTGTCCACATACATATTATCCTTTACTTGTGAGGCGAAATCGTTCCCGCTTTCTGTGGTATCCAAGTGGAAGTTGATGGTGGCTCCCAACAGAAAGGGTGACGATATAAGACCGAATGTCACTCTTGTGAAGCGGAAAGTGACAATGTTTTCTTCGCTCACTGGTTCGTTTAGGTTCTTGAGCCATAAGAATCTTGTTGCATCTCGGTCTTGTTCATGTAACCTCACTTGTAGGAAGGCCTTTTCTATATCTGCGGTCATAGCGATCTTTCCCATTCGGAATCGCATAAGCATTCCGCAGATATTAGGTATCGTCAAGGGTCCTTGGTGAAGGACATCGTTGAGTGACGGCTTCCCAGCATAATGAGCTGGTGCGTCGAAAACGATACGCTTTGGAGTTGTTCGTTTTTCTGGGTTAACCACTGCTTGATGTGCCAGATAGTGGATGATTTTGCCTTTAGGTCGAGGTTTGCCGGCCTCTTCTTCGACTATTTCGATAATCCTTTTCTGCAGTTGATCTTTGAAGATGTTATCGAACTCCTGTAGGAATTCTTTGCGGTCTTCGTACTGTCTAAGCAGCGACTTCAATCTGGCTAGTGCAATGATCTGTTATCTGATAGGTATTCGTGAGGCTCCTTCCACGGAAGCCGTACATAATATCCATCTGGTTTTCTTACAGTTGTTTCCTTGAATTTCTTGGGAATTCGATCCTCTTGGATCTTTTTAGCTTCTTTCTCGGTTCCTGTGATTCTTCGATCCCTGTGGATTCCATCTTCCAGCAGTTATCATATATGTCTAACTCGTTATCTTCGCTACTGGTTTGTAATGTAGTGGATACTGGTTTCGTCACAGGTTTTTTCTGTTTCCCTGAGAGCATGAATCCAAACTTCGTCCCGATGAGATGCATGCCCGAGGGTAAGTTGTACTTTTCGTTCTCCATCAATTCCCATAGGTAGTCGCAGCCTAAGAGAACGCGTGGTTGAATGTCTTTGTTGGTCTTCGTTGATAGATGTAGACCACGTTCTTTTATGTAGCTCAAGTCTTCGTCTGTGAGCTGTGGTTCCGCCGTCCTGGATGTTAAAATTGCACAGTCGTATAGTTTGCATGGGTATGTGTCACCTATCCTGTCCACTAAATCCACATGTACTATACGGTGCTGTTCCTCTTTTGCCAGCTTCGTTCCAAACGTCTTGAGGCGTAGAGTGGAGGTTCCCTCTACCTTTAGTTGAAGTTCGTCTACTAGTTTGCTATCTATAAATGATAGCTCTGATCCTGTGTCCATGAGTACTTGGACTTGTCTGGACTCTGTGGGTCCTTGTATGGTGGCGGTTCCTGTTAAGAGGAGTGCTCCTGTTTTCTGGTTATTGCTTTCCCTTACATGGTTGACTCTGCTCTCGTCTTGGGCAGTGGTGCGATAGGGGGAGCCGGGTCCCCCAAAAGTGAAGGTGGCCTCTGCTACCACTGGCTGCCAAAAGTGAAGGTGGTAGTGCCGGACACTCACCTCCCAAAAATGTCGACCGGGGGGGGGGGGTCGCAGCTACCACAGGGCAGCAAAAATGAAGGTGGTAGTGCCGGACACTCACCTCTCAAAAACGTTGACCGGTGGTGGGGGTAGAGAGGGGGGGGGGCACAGGGCGGACTTTGAACTGGGTTTTTTGGGTTTTTTTTTTGGTTTGGGTTTTTTTTCGGACTTTTGGGTATTGATTTTTTTGCTGAAACTGAAAAAAAGGAAATTAAGCAAAACGAACGCAAAAGAAAGTATTGAGAGCATATTCTATGTAGTTTATTTTTAGGAAATCGCCGTCGCCTTCTGCGAGAACTGGAGGTCATCACCGGCATGGACGCATATACGCCTCAGCACTTTCTACGATAGAGCAAAGCTTCATGATGACTTCGGACAACTGAAGAGCTCTAACCCAACGGTCCTCTTTAGGGCCAATAACTGCGACCCAACGGCCCTCTTTGGGGCCACAGATACGATGAACACAGCGGCATAAATATTCGAAATAAATGTGTCAATGAAATGGTGTATTTTGAAGTGAAACTCAACGACACTCTACAGGTTTTATGAAGTAAATTTAGTTATGTCGTACTGCGAAGAAAGTAGGTCGATCCAGGAAGTATTTGTTGAGAACCAGAATTTTGAATGAAAAAATAACCAGAAATCATGCAAAATTGCCACTGTTATAAACCAAGTGGTTGAAGATGTCAGCAACTGCGACTTCATAGGTTTTAAAGGGTAAGTGTTGCTCTAACAGATAGTGAAAAAATCGGGTCGATTTGAGCAGTGGTCGCTGAGAACGAGAATTTTGAAAAATTAGGCGATTTTAGGCTAATTTTTGACTGCTGACATTTGAACTCCTAAAACTCTTGATTGTGAAGATGTGTGATGTTGCGACTTCATAGGTTTTCTAGGGTAAGGCTTGCCCTACTAGAATATATCTTACCCGTACCAATTCATCAAAGCACCGCCGAGATCCAGGCTCTTGAAAAAGCAGGTAAAAAACAGCTTTTTGAACTTCAACAGCTCGTAACTTCTCCAGAACTGCATGAATCATGTTGCGACTTCATAGGTTGAATTCTTCTTATCAAGAGCTTTCAGATGATATATAATATGTGGGAGTTTCGCGCCTCTTACGGCATATGCCCGGGGGGGGGGGAGACTTTTTAGGCCAAAGTCTCCCCTGGCGGCCTCCAGCCAATACATTAAAATGGGCGAGGGGGAGACTTTGGCCTAAAAAGTCTCCCCCCCCCCCCGGTCATACGTCGAAGAAGGCCCCAAACCCCCATATATCATATATCATCTGAAAGCCCTTGATGAGAGGAATCTAACCTATGAAGTCGCAACATGATTCATGCAGTTCTGGAGAAGTTACGAGCTGTTGAAGTTCAAAAAGCTGTTTTTTACCTGCTTTTTCAAGAGCCTGGATCTCGGCGGTGCTTTGATGAATTGGTACGGGTAAGATATATTCTAGTAGGGCAAGCCTTACCCTAGAAAACCTATGAAGTCGCAACATCACACATCTTCACAATCAAGAGTTTTAGGAGTTCAAATGTCAGCAGTCAAAAATTAGCCTAAAATCGCCTAATTTTTCAAAATTCTCGTTCTCAGCGACCACTGCTCAAATCGACCCGATTTTTTCACTATCTGTTAGAGCAACACTTACCCTTTAAAACCTATGAAGTCGCAGTTGCTGACATCTTCAACCACTTGGTTTATAACAGTGGCAATTTTGCATGATTTCTGGTTATTTTTTCATTCAAAATTCTGGTTCTCAACAAATACTTCCTGGATCGACCTACTTTCTTCGCAGTACGACATAACTAAATTTACTTAATAAAATCTGTAGAGTGTCGCTGAGTTTCACTTCAAAATACACCATTTCATTGACACGTTTATTTCGAATATTGATGCCGCTGTGTTCATCGTATCTGTGGCCCTAAAGAGGGCCGTTGGGTCAATTGTTGGCCCTAAAGAGGACCGTTTGGTCATAGCTTTTTAAATGGAAATTCGTCCCGAAGCTATCTTCTCCGATTTCGTGAAAAGGCGGAAAAGTGGATGCGTCCATGGCGGTGATGGCCTTCGCTTCCGATGGGTGACGGCGAGTTCCTAAAACTGCAATACATATGTATATGCCTTCAATAATCCCTTTTGCGTTTGCTTTACTTATTTTCCTTCTTTATATTCAACAAAAAAATTTTCGCAAAAGTGAAGGTGGTCACTCTGTATCAGCTCAAAAGTGAAGGTAGGGGGAGACTTGGCTCCCCCTATCGCACCTCTGGTCTTGGGAATCGCTCACCCTTTCTGGTTCACTATCTTCTTCTATAGTGACCAGGTTTTGTCTGGTTTGCCTATGTGTGGCTTGTGTTGTTCCTCTTTCTGCATTCGTGCGACGTTGGATGTGGGAACTATTCGAGCTGGCTGATTGATTTGTTGGGGCTTCGTTGTCGTCCCTATAGACCCTGTTCGTGGTTCGGCGGCGGTAATAGTCTTCGACATGTCGATGTGGTGCTTGAGTCTACATCTGAAGCATCCTTGACTCCTACAGTTCTGTGCCGTGTGATTCGGTTTTCCACAGTTTGTGCACAGCTGATTCCTCGCCAAGAACGCTGCCCGCTCCGATATTGGAACAGTCCTGCACTCCACTGATCGATGATTACTTCGTTTGCAATAGATACAGGCTGGTATCGGGCGCTTATCCTGATTTTCTCCCCTTAGGGGGAGAGTGGCGTATGAGGCTTCGTGATCAGTTCTTGACTCCTTTCTATCCTTTCTTTGGTAGTGATAATGTCTTGTACCTTCTGGAGAGCTGACCACGTCCACTGTTGAGAATCTGTGAGCCTCTCTCGCCTTTCGAGTGCCTTTGCTCGGATTTCGGCACTGAATTTTCGTAAAACTAGGTTGAGCACTAGTCTTTGATTGACATCCTGGCCTTTCGCGGCTAGTTGCGTCAAGATGGCTGTGATTCGTTCTAGTAGGTTAGCCTGTAGCTTAGTGGACATTCCCTCCGCCTTGGTGGTTTCGAGCTGCATCAACAGGTCTTCGATGATGGATGCGTCTTCGCCATACTACTTTTTGAGTGCTTCGATGACTAGTTGATAGCTTGCTTCTACCACCTGAAACTGTGCTGCCGTCTGCTTAGCCTCTCCTACCAGTGATTGGAGAAGATAGTTGAACTTGATCATCGTGGGAATTGGCTGTTCGTCCACGGTGACTTGGAATATGGCCCAAAAGGACCCCCATTCCTCGCGTCTTCCGCTAAACTTGGGAAGTTGTAGCCTGGGCAG